ATCATAAATCAGTAACGCGCCGTCTGATTCGCAGATCAATAAGTGTTCGGTTGGCTCGTTATTAGAGCGACGTTCAGTGCGAAACAATGGCCCATGCTTTTCACGTTTTCCGTTCTGCGGTATGAATACCGCCAACGGCGCCATTCCATAGGTTGGAAAACTTGCCAGATTTTGGAATGTGTTATTCGACGTTTTTGGGTTAAAAGAATTTCTATTAGAGAGAAAAGAAAAAAGAGAAAATGAGGATAATGTATAATTAAGAGAGAAATTTATTATGTATTTTTTAACGCTATCAAATATGACACGCGACGTACATAATTAAAAATGAAAAACCTCTTTCTCTTTCTCTGCGATTTTGCTTCTTTAAAAAATTAGATTAAAATTCTGATACAATTTATACTCGCCTCCGTCAGCTTATACAATTTTTCCTATTTAATCTCATAATGCTTAGCGTTATATATATATATGTCACTATTCCTCGGATATTTTGCAGCGCAAAGTTGAAATTTTAAATCCTTTAAGTGACATATCTTATAAATTTAGTGCAGTATAAGCTGTAGACTGTCCTAGATCTTTTTACGATCGAAATATAGAAGGAAATTTTGATGTAGCTCTCGGATCCAAAATAAAATCTCTTAAAATGTTTATCATAATTTATGAAAAATAATAAAGTTTTTTTATATTAAAGAACACGATAAGATCTATTGAATTGCAATATATGCTATCAATTTAGTTTGCTAAATTATCATTTGTAACTTGAAGAACTATTAGTGCACCGATACATTTTGTCGACACGTATTGATTAACTAAGCTATCATTAAGATGAATAGGCACTCTGTGGAATATCCTGTATACGGGTCAGCTAAATAACTCAGTACACGGCTTAGCTTATATAGATTCGCGGGGGAGATATATCCCTAGATTCGAAAAAGCTTTTTCGCGTCACCGCAATCTACAACTACTTGTAGTTTTACATTTTCCCATTTGCCGATCTCGAAAGCTGCAAGGACGCCTGAAAGTTGTTACAATAAAGCTCGAAACAAAAGTAATACGCTAACTAGATTTTTGAACTAAGCTTAACAGATAATCCTATGTAGATGCTGCAGTGCATATATATATTTCTTTTGCCATGTTTTATTTATTTTTATACATTTCCATATTATTATTCTCATCATTATTTTCATATTCCGATATAATTTATATAGAAAAGCGGAACTCTCTCTCTCTCTCTCTCTCTGGGAGAGTTATTATTTTTCGCTGCATGAAATAATTTGTAATAAGTATATTATTTTACTCTAAAAATAACATTATTTACTCAATTTTTTATATAGAAAAATATAAAAAGAATTTCTTACTGAATAAATCCTAAAGAATCTTTCACAAAAAAATATTAAATATAAATAAATTTTTTATATACTACATAAATTATATTAAAATATTTTGCATTTTTCAACCCTTATATTCTTCTTCGCGACGCCTGTTGCAGCAGCGACCTTCTAAATCGACGCTCTAGCTGCACTAATCCGCCTGCAGTTCTGAATACTTAACTCAACGTCCGAAATCCAATAAGAAGAAGAGGCTCGTCCGTCGTCGGACGAAATGAGATGCTCCGACGAGGCGAGTACCTCTTCTCTCCTGCCGGCGAAATTAGCGTTTTCGAGTTGCTTGAATTATTCAGTTACGCCGCTACATACCGCCTTATCTTTCGACTTTAATAATTTTCCCGACCAAGCTGCAATTGTGACAGAAATCCGCCTTATTTGCTGCCGCATATATTCGCAGGAAGAGAATTAATTCTTCTTTTTTGAATTATTATAAGCCCGGTAAGTAGAAGAATATAAGGGTTGAAAAATCTAAAATATTTTAATATAATTTATGTAGTATTTAAAAAATTTATTAATAATATTTTTTTTTGTGAAAGATTTTTTAGGATTTATTCAGTAAGAAATTCTTTTTATATTTTTTCTATATAAAAAATTGAGTAAATTATGTTATTTTTAAAGTAAAATATCCTTATTACAAATTATTTCGTGATATAATTATTTTACATAAACTTTACATAACGAATCTCCACAGAAATTAACGTTCGCACGCGTTAAAACCTTATAGTCGCTTGGACAATTTCATGCAACTATTTACAAGTGACGCAATGAGGTACGAAGTTACTTTCTACGTAGATTAACGCCAGGACGATTAATACCTAAGCGAAGTAAACGGCGTTACCTCACCTCGGCACAATAAAGAGGAACTAATTTCGCTCTTCCTGGCACGAGAGGATGCAGGTCAGTCTTCTGCATCGCATACACATAGAGGAAATGATTAAACTCAAAAGATATAGTGGTAGTAGTGACTACATCAGGGTTGTATCCTGTTGAATAATTCCCGCACCGACTTCAAAGCGACTTCAATAGCTTAAGTTAGCAATCTAAGCTTCTAAAAATTTCAGCGCACCATAAAGGAGAGCTTTGAGAATGTGTTGCTAACGCAGGCCTTCCAGTATCCTTGTATACGTGCAAATGGTTTCTTCCTCCCATTTATAAACTAATATATATATATATATGGTTTTAATCAAATTAGCGTAAGAATAGTGTTAAAATTAGTCGCGAGCTTTTATTAATAATAAATTACTTCACTATATAAATTTAAATAAAAAATTATTGACCTCATTCGTACAGAGAAAGCTGTCGCGTATCGTGTGTCGTCTACTCTTTTAGTGAAATATATGTGAAACTGTAACTCTCTCTGTAAATTGCAACAGGATTGCCTAGAAATTGCATGGACAATGAGTTTCATTGCGATCGATTGTGGACGGAAATGGAATTTAAGATATAAGGATATTTTTGCAATAAAATTGTGATGAAAGCAAGATAATATAATTAAAATCAATTTGTTTATAATCTAAAAATAGAAAATATCTAGAATAATATCTAAAAATGAGAATTTAATAAGGATAATAAAATTCTTGACAAGAATGAGATTTAATTATAATGTCTGAAGATTCTTAAATAATACATAATAAATTTTCCTTAAATTAAAATTAGATTAATTAATACAATTAGCACAGATTATATATTAAAAATTTGTTAAAATATACACAAAAATAATTTTACTTACAAAGAGAAAAAAATCACCGTCATGAGTTTAATATTTAAAATGAAGAAAAATACTGTGCAGGACTTGAAAATGTCTACTCTGGATAATTTATATCTAGATAATTTCTCTTCTTATTTTTCCCTAATTTTTTGTAGGTTTGGACAAAGTAATCTTACTGAATTTTTGCACTTACAGCTTTCATTTTGATATCTAATGAAAACATGACAAAAATAAAGTTACTTAACAGTTTTAAACAACAAACATGACTATTGTTAACGCGCATATCGTGTGACGAACGTGTTTACACATCTTAAATATGATTAACTCTAAAAGAATCGCGTATCGTTCTCGCCTCGCGACCTAATGCAATTATATCGGGATGATGCCTGGTTCTTTTTATCTTGTTTTTTATTATGAATCCTTGTAGCAGAATTGGATCTAGATCTTCCGGCATACAGAAATCTTCTACTACATATGACACACACAGCCTCTTCTCAGTTTTTATCTAACAATAAGTCTACAGTTGGCACCAATTCTCTTGAATTGTTCCAAAAGAAAGAAGAGAAAGAATTGAAGAACTCGAGAATTAAAGTAATGTGTAGCTTATTGTTATAGTTAAAATTAAAAGAATATATATAAAAAAAATAATATTTAAATATTGATATCATTGAGCATTATTGTTCAATACAACATTTTTTCATCTCTCACATTTTATAAATTATGTATTAAGAAATTATTTATTTTCTTAATCTTGCGCGTTTTTGGGGAATCTAAAATTTGTGATTCCGAGTAGAGATGCAAAACGGTAAAAAAATAAGAAAACGAATTTACCGAACAAACATGGAAGACGAAGATATACTTGTTTAATATAGTCTTTATCCTTCATCTGAAATTACCTTATATGACTGCAAAAGGTGTAATTGCGAGGCTTTGTAAAGCCGAGGCACGAACGCATAAAGTCGATCCTGCCCGGTGGAATGCGACGACTTATTGCAGGCGGGCGTTAACTTTTTCCGCTCGGCGCGGTTAGTAAACGCGACTAAGCCGGATCGCCGTATCTCTCCTGTCTACGCTACTTTACTTTCTCTGCAAGGTTTTACTCGCAGAATTATTATTATTACGGGAGAGACGACGGCGAGATATACTGAAGCGGTTACTCAGTCTGAAGCGAGACGTTTTTTACGGCCGTGGAAAGCGCCTCTAAAAGTGCCCCGGTATTATGATCCACTACTCTCGAATGTGACCAAGCACACAATCGGACCATTTTTTCTCCTCGCCAAAACTTCTCGAAACGATATCGATCGTTCGCGCTGCTAGTTTCGATGAGAACTGCTGCGAATCACTGGAGGCTTTTCAGAGAGAGAGAATTGCCCTCTATTTAATACCTGGGGGATTTGCGTCGCTTAAGCTAATCGAATTAATCTTGCCCTGCCCGAGAGATTTGCCCGAAGTATTCATTAGACGACTGAGAACAAGCGCAGATTATTCGTTGTATTCGACGTGCTACACAGTACCTTTGAAAATTGAGATATTGAGTTATGGATAACCAGCTATTTCTCATCTGACCGCATTCGCTAGAAACTCGATATAGAACCGTTTTGATAACAATGTTAGGACGCCAGTCTGGATGTATCTATTTGCAACATGTTTGCGAATGAAGTTCTCAAAGATCGATATCTATAAATTCTCACTTTTTTCAGAAAAAAGATACTAATATTTCATTCAGCAAAATTAAATTAGCATCCCCTAATTTTAATCTCGGTTTTTTCCCTTCTTTTTCGTATTTTGCTCTCCGATTTGACGTGCAGAGAAAAAAAAAACAATTCGCGCGTCAATTCACTATGATATTTCATTTCACTATATGCTATTTTAAACCATATGTAAATTTTGTTTCTTATCTTTTCCAGCCGACAAAGCTCAACGTCTACAAGAACGACGCCGAGAGCTGGGACTACACAACCCCGACGCTGGGTGAGTCTCTTTTTCTTTCTTTCATCTCCCTCAGTTCTTCTTTTATTTCTTTCTATCGGTGTTATGTACATGTAACTTCATAACATACATTCCTCGCGTCTCTCGACATGCGTCTTAGCAATTGAAAGCATGAAAGTGTAGAATCGGGCAGGCCCGTTACTTCGAACGTCGCCGAAAGATTTTTTAATTTCGTCCAACGTGTTGCTTTAATTTTCATCGTTTTAGAAACGACGTATGTATCTGTCAATCAATTTTTTTGTGGTAAAAATTAACGCGAGTAAAATTCGGATATATTTAAATTTTTGCAACAACTAAGGAATGCTAAATTTATTCGTCGAAAGAGATGGGCTTGCTTGATTCACCGAGATCGTCAATTGGATTATATTCCAGAAAGAGGCCAACTACATTCAATCGACTTCTTTTTGCAAAATTCGATTCCAATTGGCGACCCTCGTCGCGTACGTGCACATGGAGGATCGTTCCCGAGACTGAGCGTATCGCGATTTCTCCCCTATTTCGGTTCTCCATTCGTACCATTTCTGTATTTCGTTGCACATGATGCAGAAACACCTAATTGGATTAAACGACAGAGTGCAAAAAGACTTTGCCAAAACAAAATAGCATTTCTCGTTCGCATGTCTGAAATAAAATTTTTTTTCTTCCAGCAATATTAATAAAATAATATATTTATTAAAGAAATGCAAAAAGAAAATTATTTTTGCATTTCTATTATCTGTACAAATATTTCAATTAATTTATATAAATAATTTAAATATAAAATATTTTATTTAAAAATTTTTAAGTTTTTTTATGTCAAATTTTCATCGCGTGAAGAAGAATTGTAGAGCCGCAAATTATTTTGTAGACGTGAATCCGTCAAATTTGATAATTTTGAAAATGAAAGCCCGAAACCACAATGATGGTTCTATGTATATGGGAACGATCCTCGAGCTTGAAATTCGCTCGACCGTCATACGCATGAATTCGTCGCGAACGTTCACATACCACAGAATCCGATAGATCTATTCACTCTGGAATATGAGAGAGATCGTAGGAATATGAAAATGCGTAATAATTCGGACCACCCGACGCGAGAAACGTATAAATTTTCTGAATCGACGAATTTCGCGCACAAAGAGAGAGTTTAGATGTGTCATAAAATATACATGTAGTCAAGGTGTATCATGTTACAAGAACACTGAATGAATTTCACGCGATGAAGCAAGGCATTATTATGAATATCAATTTGCGATCTCTTTACTGACAACATATTTTTGAAATTATGAGTTTATATCGCGTGCGATCGTATTATTATTCCTATTCTGCATTTCGAGTTGAAATGTAAAATACATCGGTAAATGAATTTATTTCAATATCCAAAACATTTTATTAAATAACTTGATATATTTTAATAAATTTTCCGTTGCTTGTAACTTTTATTTTCGCGAAATTCTTCGCGTTCTACAAAAATCCTATTCCCATCCCGATTATTCCAATGTTCTCGTATATACATAAAAATATAAAAAGTAAAATGAAATTGGGAACCCATGCTGGCGGAATTATTCTTGCAATTCACAGTTCACTAACCAAAGATTAAATCGCATGCCAAAGGTGCGAATATAAGGGTAGCTTTCGTGAGCGCGCAAAAGACTGGGCGTTTTAGTGGCTGAACGTCGCTTGCTCGTGACGCGTAAATTATTTCGAGTTATCCTACGACATTAATTACCGCATTTCTTTCTACCGCGGTTAATGAAGATTACTAACGCCACGTGCGAACGTGGCTCTCGCCCTGGAGAATTAGCGCCATTTTCGAGATAATCGCCTTTCGCGCCGGGCTGCTGCGGTTTCGTTGCGCGAATTGGAGCGTTAAATGGCAATTACGCTAAGATAATCTAGCGACGCAAGTTTATATTTTCGCGAATGGACACTGAAGAAACGAAAAATTCGTCGTTGAAATTGAAAAAGGGAAGCAGAATTACAATTACGTGCACAGAATAGTTTTATATTAATTTAGATTCATTTTTGGTATTGCGATAATATATTTTATAATTTGTTTTATTATATATTATAATATATTAACTTTTATTAATTATAATACAGAATGCTTTAAGAGATTTTTACCGGCGCTTCAGAAAAGTACTCTAATTTTGAGTTAAAGTTCATATTAACATGGGTTCTCTAAATTAAAATTTATGGAGCTATGATACTCTAAATTATTCTAACAATAAGCTAAAAATAGGCAAGCATTCACATAATTAAATAACAAAAATACTTTTATTTGTTTGAATATTTAGTCATTTTATTTCATATTCATAAAAGTGGTTATTTTTAGCTAAGAATTCAGATTTTCATAGTTTGCTAAATTTATAAAAATGTTAATGTGAACTTTTGACCTCAAAAGTGTCCTGAAACGGTAAAATGTCGTAAATCACACTGTATATTATAAATTAATTCTTATTAATTTATCATAATATATTAATTCTTGTTTATGCAAATACTAGCAAAATATATGCGAGCTTTACTATAAATAAATTTACGACAAATAATTTTAATGCTTTATCAATAAATCAAATATGAAGATTTTAATTATATTAATTTATTCATCAATTTCAATTTATTAAAGAAATTAAACGAACGTATATGCGTATGCGTGTATTATGTGTAAAGAATATAAGATGACAAATTAAATTTTTGTTAATGCGGATTATCTCTGGAAATTTTTTTTTTGGAGGGGGACAACGTCAGAAAGATTTAAGGCACGTTGACATCGCTAATATACATGCAACTTGCGCATTTCGGAATTAATGCTAAAAGATCATCGAGCAATATTTAAACCGATAATAACTATTTGAAACACGAAGAGAGAAAGTTTGCGCGAATTCGATATAATTAACTAACATGCGTGAACCCGTATATATTAACTTTCATAATGCTGCAAGCAATTAACGACAAGCAATTGCCGGAAATCGCGTGCCAGGTACAAGTCTTAAACAGAATTTCGGTAGAACGACAAGCAAATGCGGGGCACTTAAGGAATCCGCTCCAATTATAGCGGTTTGACGTTTCGTCACTCACAGGCGCCACCAACGACGTGCCCTTTCAACTGCACGAAATCTCCACGTTCTCGTTCCAAATGAATTTCCACGCTAATTGGCATCGTTTTCAGACATAACGATGATATTTGCGCACTTAGAGCTTGGTCCAAATGGTCAAGGCCATTTTTCATTATATTCATTTAGCTATACTTCTCTTTCATCGCGCAAATTCCTTATAAATATTAAACATATCTTCTAAATCGTCTTTTCTATCTAGAATTTACAAAATCGTGTTAACACTAAAAAATTAATTGCATAATAACGTTTAAAATGATTGAAAAAAGTATTAAAATATTGTTTTGCGTGTAAAGATTAATTTGAGATTAATATATATTTATAAATATTAATAATATTAGGAAAATAGTAACTTTTTCATTTAATGGTTGAAATAAAATATTTCTCTCTAATTTTTAAATCTCTCCATAACATAAAAATTTCATAATAATCAGAGATAAATTTGAAGATAATTACATATTCATTTTCTGTAAAATAGAAATTTGTCTATCAAAAATTAAAAGATTTTTTTATATAACATAACACTAACGTGTTTTGTATTATTTTCTAGAATAAATTTGTAAAAATAAAAAAAAATTAATCTACCAAATGCATTTCCGATTCTATCCGAATGGCGAGATAAAATAATACGGTAACTATTTGCTGGATCAATTCCTCGATAGAAAATATTTTGTTATCACTGGAAGAAACTCGATTACGAAATCCCCGTGAGATTCGCGTCGACAAACCTGTCTGCCGAACTAATTGCATCGGAGATAGGTCAGGTCGATCGCTGTACGCCTAACCTTTCCATCCTTGCATCCGCATCTCGTGGATGAAAGTTTCATTAAGTCTATAGGCGATATAGCCTAGTTACAACCGCAACCTGTATATTTCTGCGAAGAAAAGCGCCACTTTTTACTCGTTCGAGATGAACGGCACCTTGTATCGATCCAAATGGTTGAATCATTTATCGAGAGTATAAATCAAATTTCGAGAGGTAATCAATTTAAATCAAATATCAATAGGAGGATGTATTTAGTAGTCAATCTTGCTGCATTATCTCTTTTAATTTAATTTGCAATAAAGATTAATAGTCAGCTCTTGAATGAACAATCGAAACTTGAATCTATCTCAAAATCCTAAATGATCTATCTCAGAGCGTCTAAATGGATAAAAGAATCACGTTGGATATTTTTATCGGCGCGATAAACAATCGTCCCCGATAGAAATTGCTAGTTTTTCCCGATAAAAGAAAAATAGCGATAAAATAGCGATCGCGTTACTAAGCAATCAGTCGACCGACAGAGCTCGAAATAAACCGACTTAACTCATCTTTGTTATTTTAATCTACCCGGTACCTAAGAATGCGCGCGCGCAATATTGTGCAACAACGACACGCTCTCCCATCTTTGCGATTCTCCGGGCGATTAAGATTCGCGATTAATTTACTGCCTCCGCCGTCTACTCAATTATAAGCGCAGAAATAGCGCGTTCGTTTCGGACGCGCGATCAATCCACCCGATCGCGTTTTACACTCAATTTTCTGTCATCACCGGAGCCCGAATACCGATCCGGTATTTCGATTTGGCAACGTTATTCAACGACGACGACGACAGCATCAACGACGTCGACGATGCTCGGCGTCGTCATCGGTTGCTCGTTCGCTTCTCCACTCCACAGTGTGTGTATATAAATGTCGACGCACAAAAGACCGTCGTCGACGTCGACGTCGCTGAACAAAGCCAAGTTTGTTTCGAGAAAGTGGGCAGAGGCTGTGCGAGATGTGATTTTATTATACAGCGCGCGCACGCGAAGCGCACGATTAAATAAACGAAGGCATTTTCTCGGTGGTAATGGGTATAAGATTCCATTCGTCTTTGTTTCTTGAAGATTGAAACTCTAACGTCG